TAAACATCCTCCCTATAAGCACTAAGCTCCTTGAGGGTTGGATGGTGTCTTCTCATCTTTTGCCCAGCCTTTAGAGGGTGATTCTTTAACAGGTGTGATAATATGGCATTCATCTAGTTACTAATAGGGACCTCCACTGGTTGGTTGAATTCCAGTTGCTAACTACTTGAAATAAGCTAAAAAGAATTTTGTAATTTAAAAATGTTACAGTTCAGATTCAGTTATTGAGATTTTAAATTAACACTCCAGTCTTTACACGATTCTGTCATATTTGCTTCCTACCTCATTTCTTTGATATGCTTTTTGATCTCAGCTGATTTGAGTGTTATGTTTACAAGGTTTACTCTTTAGAAGTGAATTTAATTCTTGCAGTTTTTAATCAATTGACAAACATTATTACTGAGTTTTACCTCATAATTTAAACCTTTATATGTGTGTTAGAGTCAACTGGGAATCTTATAATAGATATCCTGGGCTCCAACCCCATAGATTCTGATTTAGCAGGTCTGGAGTATGGTCCAAGGGAGCTGTACTTTTTGATAATATTTAAGCTGATTCTAGAGCAGGTTTTGCTGATCATTCTGAAAAACACCGATTTAAAGAAACTATGCAGATTAGTCTAGATTAGTGTGAATCTATTGTGTGTTTAAATTAACAAGGAGCCTTTATTAAAATAAGAAGGTATAATATTAATATTAATTTATAACATTTAACAGAAAATTTAGAGCAAGATTTAAAGGACTGCAAGCACCAAGTACGTTGTGATGTGTTCCTATTAATCTCCACCTGCGCAGGCAGCACTGTTGCTAGACCACGCGTCACATTTTCAGCAGCCATAGCCTGTGAGCTGGTAGCCACAGAATTTCAGTAGAGCCTCGGAGCAAGATAATCCCCTAACTGAGAAGTCTGAGCCTTAAAGGCTCACAGATTACTAGTGAGTGGTCACCTCCACAGCTCCAGGACTTGTGTGTGAATTTTGCTGTCATAATCTTAACTCTGTTCCTATAAACAACTTTCCCCATTTGTTTTATTTAAAAGTGTTGTAGAAAATTATTAATCCAACTGTGTGGTTCTTTATCCTTGTATCTTTCAATGAAACGAGAATTCAATGTTGCATAGATACAGTTTTGATCTTGTTGGGGACTGGCCCCTTTTAGAGTATAGGTTTTTAGCATCACTTAACTGTTCACATAACAATGACTTGCCTTGGTAGAGGCTCTGCTAGCATTTCTAGTTCCAGCATTTCCCTTCTATTGGCCCCCACACAGGTAGGGAGCAGAGAAGTGAGGGTACCACTCACTGATGCCATGGACGTCTCTGTGGTGATCAGGCGGCAGGCAGAGTGGGGTGACTGTGTGGTCTTCCAGGTCTCTCTGCCTGGGTTGCAACCCCTCCTTTCCCATTATTTATTGTGTGGCTGCGGGCAAGTTATTGAACCCATAAGCCTCCGTTTCCTCCTATGAAAATGGAAATTGTCATTGTCTCATGAAGTCATAGGGAAGATTGATTGGGTTAATGAGTACCTGGCATGTAGAAAGCGCTGTGCAAATGTCAGTACTGCTATTATCGATCAGGGAGCCTTTTCCTTCCTTAACACTCTGCCCTTTGAGATTTCAGCGTTCACTATCCATTAATCTGCTTAGGCTCCTAGTTTCTTAAAGCATATTTCTAACTTTTAAAAGGACTAGATTCTTTTTTTTTAGAGAATCCTTTTTAACAAGGCATGTGTATGTTCTAATCAGCAACATAGTGTGTCCCACTGAAGACTTTTTATTAAAATAAAAATAAAATTAAATTTAAAAAAAGAAGCATATTGTGGTTCCTTTTGAACCATAGCATAATAATAGGATTATGGCTTTATCTTTATATGATTATATAGTAAGCAATGAACTTTAAAGGAAAAGACAACCTCTTCATTTGTTCCAGATGAATCTTCTGTGAAGTTCTTAATTGTTGTGCATCAGCCTCATCTGATGAGTGAAATGGTTATACTTGGGATTTCTGAATTGTGTTTTCTTTTAATGTAAGGAAGCTTTGCTTAATTTTTTCTGGCTTGAGCACTCATGTATATAATTGTAATCAACAAATTTCCCCAGAAGAGAGAGCAGTCAGGCTTGTTAGGTGTGGCTGGTCCCACGGTGCTGGCGAGAGCAGTGTGGGGGGGTGAATGTTTCCTTCCTCCCCTGATCACACGCTCCTTTAGCCTTTCATGGCGGTGGTGCGGCCCACACAGGGTCTCTGCGGGACCTGTGGAAGGCAGCTGTTAACGATTCTGTTGGTGCTTCCTGGTAAGGAAATACTATTTCAAAGTGTGTATTTGTTTATCAACATGGATACATTCACAAATTTAGAATGGGAAGGAATTTGACAATAACACAGTCCTTAACTTTTGATGTACCTCGTTTCACTGCCAGAAATGAGGACACAGCTGGAAATTTTCACACCACAGTGTGTGTAGTGTCTTCTTTTCCCTGGAGTGACTTTGTGATAAGACAGGTATTTACCTGGAAATTCATAGCTGCTCTCCCAGTAACGTGCTGCCTCCTAGTAAGTGTGTATATGTACGGAGAGACCAGAACGGCAACAGTTTTAAAAAGATTAACTTTCCCCTTTCTGCTTAGTTTCTAGTATTAGCAGTGAGGACGTCAAGCAGCAATTTGTGTGTGTGTGTGTGTGTGTGTGTGTTTTCACTTCCTCTCAAAGATATTGCAGACAGTGCGGTTTTAATCAGCTGCAAAAGGCAGCTGTTGAAGAAAGCTAATGTGGTTGTTCAGAGTAGAAAATTGGATGATGGTAATTACCAGAGTAGCTAACTTTGGGGGTGTACTGACTGCTTGGCCCCTTATTAAGCATTTTGCATTTATCATCCAATGTACAATCCCCGTAACCTTATAGGAGAGTGCTACAGCGACAGCCATGGCTCAACAGCTGTGACAGAGGTCTGCCTTTGAAGGCGGGCCTCTGGCGCCAGGCCCTCACCCGTAGCCTGGCCTGTGGTCTTGCAAATGCCCACTCTTAAAAGTCGTTCACCTCTGTGCAAAACACTCTAAACGGGAAGCTCTCCTAGGTGGGAATGAAAACTGTTAATACAGTGAAACATTACATTCTAGGTTTTGACTTCCCTCACCCTTGACTTTGTTATTTTCCTTGATGCAAAAATGTCCTGTTCTAAGGGAGCACATAAAATGAGACATAAAAATAGTGGAATACCTGTTTTCTAGATAATGGCCTAGTTTAAAGTTTTGCTCAGAAAATTATCACTTATTTTTTACTCCCCCACCCCCTTTTGGACCATTTGTTATATTTCTCCACCTCTGGCCTTTCCATCTGTTTTCTCTGCTAAAATGTTTCATATGTATCAACTCCTACCTGAAAGTAGTTCCAGACTTGACTTGTTCAGCTTTACAGTAAAAAATCTGCAATTCAGCTGTGCTAGATCGTGGCGATGCAGTGCAGGGAATTACTTATTTCATCATGACTAAAAGCTTGATCCATGCCATTTTAGATGGACAATGTTTTGTTTCCTTTTTAGCTTAGGGAATAGGGTCCTTTACCCAACCTGGCATCTCATTTGGGAAATCAGTCTCTCTCCCTCCTCCACCTCTCATAACCACTAGGAATATTATGGATGACAGAATGACAGAAAAGGGTAATATGGATAATATTGGAGTACAGGCCAAGCACAGTGGCTCTCAGCACTTTGGGAGGCTGAGATGGGAGAATCGCTTGAGGCCAGAAGTTCAAGACCAGCCTGGACAAATAGCACGACCCCATCTCCACAAAAAAATAAATAAAAATAAATAAATATTAGATGACATATCTCAAAGGATAAGCTGCAAAATAAGTAAACGATATGTTCTTAAAGACATCTCTACTGACCTTTTGCTATTTCTTCAAATTTTTGCAAGCTAGTTTCATCTCTGATTTTGTTTAGCGTTTATGAATAAACACAGTTTTGGAGAGTGTTTTGTTCCTGAACCTTGTGTAGGTTCACCTGCGTAGTGTGTATGTTTCTTCATACACAGGCAGCGTTAGAATTCTCATGCTGTTCTGAGTTATCCCACTCTTTAAAACAGGAAAGAAAAGGGGTACAGAGCTGTCAGTTCTATGAGATGTTTGTAAAAAGCCCTTTGGAAAGTAGAGAACTATTCTGTAAGTGTGGGGGCTTTATTTGTAATGTAAATGTAGACATTGACAAGGGCCAGTTGTTAGAATCCCTTGAAAATATAACCCAGAACCCTCAAGGTTACGATGAAGATCCCAGGCTGAAGTCTGTCGTCATGTTCTTTCTTGAGATGCCGGCGAGGCTGCCCTGGGCGTCCGCGGAGAGCGGGCAGCTGCGTGTGCTGCGGCTTTGGAAGCAGCCTCACCCGTTCTTCCTGCCTGAAAGTGTTTGGCATGTTGCTCATTACTTGACAGCGGTGGCAAAGGGGGCTAAGAACATGTTCTCCAGAAGTGAGGGACGAGTCACAGGGAGAATGCTCTCCTTAGAAGCATTTAACACAGGCGTCCTCAAACCACGGCCCGCGGGCCACATGCGGGTGTTTTTGCCTGTTTGTTTTACTTCAAAATAAGACATGTGCAGTGTGCATAGGAATTTGCTTATAGTTTTTTTTAATCTATAGTCTGGCCCTCCAACGGTCTGAGGGACAGTGAACTGGCCCCGTTTAAAAAGTTTGAGGACCCCCGATTTAACACATCCAACATTTAACACAAAAATATCCTCATTCTCCTGTGGTCCTCAAATGCTGTTATTGTTTTGCTTTGCCAAACCTTGATAATGAGTTCCTTTTGGAATTTGCTTAATTTTAATTTTACTTAATTTTCTTTAGACTGAATTCTAGAAAAAACGTAATGGAGGAAGGCATGGGGCTGGATGGGATAGGACAGTGTAAGAGCGGCTTAAGATTCATCTGTGTCTTTAAATATTCAAGCAGATTAATATGTGATATGATGTTTACCTTTTATTAAAGCTCTACTTTTCTTGTTTTCTCTTACAGCAGTGACTTTGAAGAATTCTAAGAGACTGAAAACTTATAAGACATGAAGTTGCCTAGCAAATATTTTTACATATTTTATACAATGTCTATCATGGAATCAACAGGAATGTGGATAAAACCTAAAAGGGAATAATATTATTGCTATGCTGGATATAGAATTCAGTTTGCTTTGAAAGAAGTTTTGGTTTAAACAGTCTGATGAAAAATGTATTATATTCCCAGGGAAGGAAAGAGCTCATTTGTTATCTTCCTAGCCACCCTTAGCCACCTGCCACTCCCCCAGCCCCTGCCCCAGCCTCATGTCCACAGGGCAGTTTGGACAGTGGGACTGCTCATTGTGGTCACTATGGGCAGTGGGACTGCTCATTGTGGTCACTATGGGCAGTGGGACTGCTCACGTACGGTCTGAGCTCGTGCTTGTGTGTGTGTGTGTGTGCGCGTGTTTGGTTCTTACATTCTGTTTTGATACTGGTTGTAAAAAGATCATCATAAATACAGTTTAGCTGTTACAAAAGATAAAAGATGAATCTCCAGTGGTCAAAGGTCCTGAGAAACTGATCTCCCATGAGATCGTGGAGTCAGATGGGACCAGATGCTAGACTTCAAATTCCTAGACCACGAATTCAGCATCAACTCCAGCTATCGTGCCACTCCTAGGTCACGTATAAAATACTGAGTTTTTTTTTTTTCAACTTGAGCTAAGCAATTCTTGTTTAGTCCACTGATTAAAGGGGAAAAATAGTTTAAAGTCACTTAAAAAAATTCTTGTTTTGACAACCCAAAGGCCAAAACAGAAGAACCTACCTCTGGCATGTTTTTCTTGGTATGCTTCCTGTTTTCAATCTTGTGATTACTGCTTATTATTTAAAAGACTCTTAGTCGTTACTTTCCCTTTAGGCCTGGCAAACTCTCTCTCTTTTTTTTAACTTTACATTTTACAAAACACCTGAAAAAACCCAGAGGCAAATATAGGTAATACATTATTTGTGGCAGGTCTGGGCGAGGGCTGGGGAAGTCCTGTTCTAGGGACTCTCCAAGACCTGCCTCCATGGCAGTGCTGGGAAGTGACTGGGGCACTTCTTTAATTTCAAAGAGAAAAAGCACATTTCTCATTTGGCTCCCAAAAGATGATTTCTATCAGAATATACTTCAAAGTATTTACTGTAAATATACTTACTCAATTCAGTTTCTGGCACCAAACTAAAAATTTCTAACCTTTTAAATGACTGGTGAATTCAATTTCATGTGAATTTTTAATGACAACTAATAAATGGAATATGTGTGTACATTTACATACACAGTGGAAAAGAAGTCAGTATGTAAACCAATTTCACTGAGGTCCAGAAAGTAGCTATATAGGGATTTTAGGGGTGTACATTAGTGTAAATAATACATATGCAGTGTAGGTCAATAGTTTTAATAAAAAACAAAACACAAGCATAATTTTTTGCTTTCAAAATATTATGCCCTCAAAATGGTGAGGGATAAAATGTAAGATATTCTTCAACTTTAAATATTTCTTAATTTTATTCAAGTCTGAGCACTTTTTATATAGCAATAAAACAGGCAAGAGAATACTCAGAAATATTTAAAATTGTATTTATACCAAGAGTACGTTTTAAATATTTTCTAATACTTGAGCAGTTTTTGTCTGGCTGGCCTCCAAATATGCCAAAAGTTAAGCATTCTTATTTTCAACACATGCGCGTTTTGCTGTCTGTACTTTGCTATCTGGTGAGAATTCATGAGTGTCCAGAGTGACTGATGTTTACAGACCTTGTGTTTTTCCTCCTCCTTTATCAGGATTGGAATCCACAACAAATCCTACATAAAACACTAATGAAGAATGGCTTTTTGTGTCATCAGTGAGTTGGCTACCACCTTGATGTAAAATTTGTAAAGGAAATTTTTCACCTTTTTGAGTGTCAAATGTATTTTTAACTGTCTGGTTTGTACTTTTATGACTTTTGTACTACCAAAGCAGAGTTAAAAATAAAAATGTTAAAGAATGTGTTGTTTTGAATGAACCAATTGTTGGTGCCTTGTACATTGAAAGTACAACTGTGGCAATAAAATTTATCGAGTGTGATTTTGAAGTGTGTCTTTAGGTATCGAGCGACCATTTGGCTGACTTTCCTCGTCGGATGGCCCCGCTGTGGCTCCCTCCTCCTGCAGCACAGGTATACCTGCAGCACAGGTTACCTGCAGACGTTGTGGGTTCCGGTCCGGATCACTGCAATAAAGCACATACCGCCATAAAGCCAGTCGCACACATTGTTCTGCTTTCCCCGTGCATATAAGTTATGTTTATGCCATGTACTGTAGTCTTTCAAATATGCGATAGCATTATGTCTAAAAGAAGTACATACATGCCTTAATTAAAAATACTTTATTGCAAAAAATGCTAACAGTCATCTGAGCCTTCAGTGAGGCATAGTCTTTCTGCTGGCGGAGGGTCTTGCTGCAGTGCTGACGGCGCTGACTGATCAGGGTGGTGGCTGCCAAAGGTTGGGCTGGCTCTGGCCATTTTGTAAAATAAGACAGTAATGAAGTTTGCCACATGGATTGACCCTCCCTTTCGTGAAAGATTTTTTTGTACCATGCAGTGCTGTTTGACAGCCTTTTACCCACAGCAGAACTTCTTTCAAAATTGGAGTCAGTCCTGTCAAACCTGCTGCTGCTTTATCAGCTGAGGTCATGGAATATTCTAAATCCTTTGTTGTCATTTCAACAACATTCACAGCATCTTCACCAGGAGTAGATTCCGTCTCAAGATGGAATGGCCGCTTTCTTTGCTTATTCATAACAAGCAACTCCTCATCTGTTCAAGTTTGATCACGAGAGTGCAGCAATGCAGTAGCATCTTCAGGCTCCACTTCCATCTCTTGCTATTTCTACCACAACTAACGTCTCGAAGCCCTCAAAGTCATCCATGAGGGTTGGAATCAGTTTCTTCCAAACTCTAGTTAAGGCTGGTATTTTGACCTCCTCCCATGAATCATGAGTGTTCTTAATGGCAGCTAGAGTGGTGAATCCTTTCCAGAAGGTTTTCAATTTACTTTGCCCAGATTGATCAGAGGAATCACTATACAAAACGTATTTCTAAAACAGTAAGACTTGAAAGTCAAAATTACTCCTTGAACCATGGGCTGCAAGAATGTATGTTGTGTCAGCAGGCATGAAAACATTAATCTTCGAGCTTTTGGGTGACCAGGTAGATTATCAATGAGCAGTAATATTTTGAAAGGAATATTTTCCTCCCTGAACAGAAGGTATCAACAGTGGGCTTAAGCTGCTCAGTAAACCATGCAGTAAGCGTGTGTTATCATTGAGGCTTTACTGTTTCATTGGTAGTGCACAGGCAGAGTAGATTCAGCATGATTCTTAAGGGCCCTAGGATTTTCAGAATAGTAAATGAGCAAGGTGCATTAGCTCCTAATAAGAAAGCCAGCCCATCCTTTGAAGCTTTGAAGCCAGGTGTTGACCTCTCTCAAGCTATGACAGTCCTAGATGGCATCTTCCAATAGGAAGCTATTCATAACTAGAAAACCTGTTTAGTGTGGCCACCTTCATCAGGTGTGGGGCGCGGTGTTAACGCCATTGCAGGATGGCGCCGACTTCCTGGTCACACCCATACCACAAGACTGATAAACAGGGTGAACCGCGCAGGTGTAGGGGCTTTTTCCTGTCTCTCAGCAAGTATGCTAATGAGGGCTCTTGCCTGAGCCAATCAGATTCTGCCTAATGTACTTAGTGCCTATATAAGCCCGCTCCGAGAGCTCCTCGGGGTCTTCCGCTTTAGTCACCTTCAGATTCCCCAATAAAGCGCTGTCAGAAGAACTCCGGTTGCCGCGTCTTCCTTGCTGGCGAGGCGGGCACGACAATCAGGGATCTCAGCTGGATCCTGGATAACCTGCTGTGGCTTCACTTTGCACTTTCATGTTATGGAGATGGCTTCTGTCTTGAAACCTCAGGAGTCAACTTCTGCTAGCTTCCAGATTTCTTCTGCAGCTTCCTCACCTGTCAGCCTTCGTAGAATTGAAGAGTGTTTGGACCTTGCTCTGATGAGGCTTTGGTTTAAGGGAATGTTGTAGCGGGTTTGATCTACCCAGACCACTCAGCAATAAGGCTATTTCACTTTCTTATCATTCGTGTGGTCACTGGAGTAGCACTTCTAACTTCCTTCAAAACTTTTACTCTGCATTCACAGCTTGGCCAACTGGCACAGAGGCCTAGCTTTCAGCTCATCTTGTCTCCCAACATGCCTTCCTCACCGAGTCATTTCTAGAGTTTGATGTAAACAGAGAGACATGTGACTCTTCCTTTCACTTGAACACTTAGAGGCCACTGTAGGGCTATCAATTGGCCTAGTCTAAATATTGTGTCTCCGGGGATAAGGTGGACGAGAAGAGGGAGAGAGAAGTAGGCGAACAGCCGGTTGGTGGAGCAGTCGGAACGCATACAGCATTTATCAATTAAGTTTGCCACAAACCTTCAGTTTGTAAAAAAATGTATCTATGAAACACAGTAAAGTGCAATATAAACGAGGTATGCCTGTTATATTTTTTAAATATGGAGATAATTTGGGGCTTATATGTGTCCTTCAAACTCAATTTCTCCTTATGTTGACATCTTACATAACCATAGAACAATGCACAAAACTAAAAAATTAACATGGGCACAATGCCACCAATGAAACCACAACTTTGCTTGGATCTCTGCAGTTGTCCCACTGATGGTCCCTTTGCTGTTCCAGGATCCTCCATTATATTTATTGGTTGGATCTAGTCTCCTCTGATCTGTGACCACCCATCAGTCTTTTCATGTGTGTCACGGTCCTGACACTTTATAATGTACTGGTCAATTCTTTTACAGAATGAATGCCCCTCAGCTTGGGTTTTCTAGCTATTTCTTATGATTATATTGAGGCTTTATATTAGGGAAAGGAAGCCACACAGGTAATGTGCATGGGATCGGGGAAACATGACAGTATGTATTACCAGTGATGTGAACTTCCATCATTGGTCAAGCTGGTGTCTGCCGCCAGGTTTTGCTTTGGCAAAATTACTATTTTTTCCTTTTGTAATTAATAGATGTTTGAGGAAAGTTACTTTGAAATTAAACAAATACCATTATTTCTGTTTAAACTTTTACCCATTAATTTTACCATCTCTATTAGTTTCCTAGGACTCTCATAACAAATCACTAAAAACTGGATGGCCTAAAATGACAAATTTACTCTTTCACAGTTCAGAAGGTCAGAGCCTGAAATCGAGGTTCCTGCAGGGTTGATTCCTTCCCATGTCTCTGAGGGGTAATGTGTTCCCTGCCTCCCTCTAGTTTCCGGGGTTGCCAGCACTTTTGGCATTCCATTGTAGCTGTTCCACCCGAGTATCTGTGTCTGTCTTCATAGGGCCTTTCTGTATGTGTGTCTCTGCTCTTGCATAAGGACACCAGTCACTGGATTTAGGGCCCACCCTAATCCAGTATGACCTCAACTTGATTGCATTGGCAAACACCCTATTTCCAAATAAAGTCACATCCACATGTCCCCGGATTAGGACGTTAACATCAACGTGTCTTTGGGGAGCACGATTTGACCACTACATCGCCTGCAGGGTCATGGGCGGCCGGAGCAGGCTGGTGGCTGGGCCCTTTACAGGGCTCCATCCTGCTCCCTCCATCTCCCCCCTTTCTTTTTTGAAAAGCCCTTTATTTCTTTCTGGCACCACAAGATGCTCCAGGCTCATCGCGGGTTTTCCTTGCCCCATCCCTGGAATCAACCAGTGATCCAAGCGCCCTGCTTCCTTACACTGGAGAGCGGTGTTTAGAAATAAAGATCGGGCCGTTAGGTGTGCTCGCTGATGCTGGGGTGTCACAGCTCCTAGGCCGCCCCGCCACACACACACACACACACACTCTCTGTATCCACCTGTCTGCAAAACGAACGCCTGTGCCCGGACGGGCCTCCTGCTGCCCCTCGCTCCACAGCACTGGCCGCCGCCTGCTCTCCTCGCTGAGAGCTGCTTCCCCCGCGGCGCTGCGTGTCCGCTCAGCCCCGGGCGCGCGCTCGGCAGCGGAAGGCGCGGCTGAGGGAAGCACCCCCCGCGGCGCTGCGTGTCCGCTCAGCCCCGGGCGCGCGCTCGGCAGCGGAAGGCGCGGCTGAGGGAAGCACCCCCCCACGAGCGCGGCGCGCGGCCCCGCTTCCAGCCCCACAGCGCCCAGCGGGCCCGCGCGGCGGTGGCTGCCCGAGACACGGCCACTTGTCCCCTCTGCGTCCGCCTCCCTTCCTTCCCTGGTGAAGACACTCAAAATGCGCGCGCAGTGGACTCCGCCCTCTGTGGCCCGCCGGGCAGCGGCTCTGAGCGCGCGTCCCTGAGAGCAGGGCGACCCTAACTGACAGCTCGAGCCGAGGAGGCGGAGGCCGCGCGGGGTCGGCCCGGAAGCCGGGCGCCCAGGCGTCTGCGCCGAGGAGGGCCAGTCCCCGCCCCCGGACGGACGGCCGCTGGGGCGGACAGGCCGTGCCCAGCAGCAGAAGTCCCGCAGAAGGGCGCTGGGGCGCCGCTCAAACGAGATGGCGGACCGGCATGCGGATTGCAGTGGGCGGGTGGACGGCAGTGGGCGGGCGGGACAGCGCGAGCGGGACGGCGCGGCGGACGGCAGTGGCAGGGCGGGCGGGACGGCGCGAGCGAGGAACGGCGCGGGAGGACGCAAAGTGGGCCAGGGCGGGCGGACGGCAAGTGGGCAGGGCGGCGGGCGGCATGGGCCAGGCGCGGGACAGCGCGAGCGGGAACGGCGCGGGCGACGGCAGTGGGCAAGGGCGGGCGGGCGGCAGTGGGCAGGCGGGGGACGGCGGCGTGGCGACGGAGTGGCAGGGCGGGCGGGACGTGCGGCGTGGGCGGACGCAAAGTGCGCTGGGGCGGGAGGCGTGGCGGATGGCAGTGGCGGGCGACGGCAGTGGGCGGCGGAAGGCGTGGGCGGATTGCAGTGGGCGGCGGCGGCAGTGGGCCGGCGGGAGAGTGGGCGGCGGC